AGATCGTGACAGAGAGCGAGTAGACGCGCTCGCGGCGATATTGTTTATCAACTCGGTCCCGTGTTTACAATTAACTCGAATCCACAGTTCTCAGCAATTTTAATAAGTGCATAACAATGGCTCCGTTAAAGCGAAGCGGCGGCAACATTAGTCAAGGGTTATCTCACACGGCGCGATAGGTGTTTACGCTTTATCCGGGGTCAACAGACGGGCTCCATGACCAGATGCAGTCACAGGTCGCCAAAAATAAACCGCCGACCCGGCATGTTAATCCAATGCCATTACTTTCACGTTCAAGATTAGATACAAAAATCTAACCTGAAATCGCACCGGCTAAGTAGTCCAGAGCCGAAATTCCGTGCCAGATGCGGGACGCCCAAATGGACGTATTTATGCTAACAGGAACTATGTTCATAGGGTTGGCGTGTAAGATAGTTCCTTTTAGCATAGATGGCACACTCACAGATCCCGCACTCGTGGCTTCTTTTAGCGCTCATGTATTGTAACTACTTCCGGGCAGCGTAGATTTATCCTCGACTATGACTGATGAGCAGCGTGCTGAGCGATTTGTTTGACGAACACGGCGATATTTGACAAACTCGCTCTTTGCGAGATCCGTCACTTATTAGGGCGTCCGTGAACGTAAGGTGAAAAATTCATGCGGAAAATTCCGTAGCTCAGTCGATCAAAAATCATCCATCGTTCAAGACAAAGAAATCTGGACTTCAACATTGACCTGTAGTTTTTAATTTTTCCATTAGTATTTGAATCACAGAAAACAAGAAGGAAGGAAGTTCTTTTTGTTTACTTTAAATATTTTCAACTTTTTGCGAAATGTTTCCTCTAACAATCAACAAACAATAAATGAAACAAAAAATGCTCATTTTGGAAAAAAAGGAAACCTACAGACAAACAAACCATTCCAATCTCTCTCGTCGAAAAATATGCTTTTTCTAAAGATTTTCTGCTCTATAGACATATTGGTCATTATTAGAGTAAAGTGATCGCCTTGTAGGCCACGAGGGAATGATACTAAGAAATTTTAAAAAAATACACTATCATCCAGGTGCATTTTGCGATGGCACCCTGGGAAATCTCGGACGTTTTTTGAAATTTTGCAAAATGCTCTTGCGAGAGAACTTTCGAACTGCGCGTTTTGAAAGTGCAAGCTACAAGTTTTCCTCCATGAATATGTATAAGAAAATTGGCATTTTGGAGTTAGGTTGCGTCGAGTTAGACTTGTGACCTCGCTTGGTCCAGTATGTTCCATCAAGTGGCTCATGCAGGCATTTTTCTTTGAATAGTCGTAAATCACTTTAAAGTTCAAAAGCTCTCGAATAAACTGTTAGCATTGCGCTCGCCTAGTCGGAAGTTGGAAACTAGTGAACTGAAGTTGTACTTACGAGCCTAACGACTAAAGTGCATCGAGCCAGCCGTGCATGAACCTTGTTAAAACATTAGATTTTGCCGGCTTTGAAATTCCTGAAAGTTGATGAAAGTTGCGTTTCAGAAGTTTCCAACCCGCATGCACTTTTACCGGGCGGATTTTCTTTGAAGTGCCGGCACTAGAGCGCGGCGAGCCGTTAGTTTTCGATCGGTGCAACTTGGATGCAAAAATTGGATTACAAGTAATTTTTACTCAGCGAGGGGGACCTCATCGATTTACCGACGTATTGCAGAGTGGGCTTTCACCGTAGCGCCGCGTCCTCTGTCATCAGGGTCAAAAAACGTGAGGTGGGGTACGTTATTTTATACCGATCTGGGGTTTTTGCGATCACGCGTAGGTAAGCACGTTATCATTTTTTCTACTCTACGACGCAATTGCTCACTGTTTTCGCGTTGGTTGCGTAAGGAGCATCGCACGTGAGGCGAACTGATATAGAATTTAGTAGAAATTTGGATGGAATTATCCTCATGGTAGTGCGAAAAACTATAGTTCGACGGAAAATGTTACCCGCATACTTCAGTTTTTACTTTTGAATTTGGTGGGAAATTTTGTGGCAAACTGATGAGAAATATGTGGAATGCCAGCGGGCGGGCGCGTGATAGCTCGGAAGCTTGAAAGATTCTGCATCTTTGCAGCGACAGGTCATACCAATTATAATAATAATAAATCATTCTGGATGTTTTGAATTCATATGTCCGCTGTCCTTGGGGGTCCTAAAAACTCCATGGCTCAAAATTACTAACATGTCCGTACTCTCCATGTAAAGGCACTCTGCTTTCATCCGACGTCACGCTGTTTTCAGCCCTGCGATACGCGTTACCTTGAGTACTTGTATAGGGAGAGTATTGACAACTCGAAATATGTAGCTCTTAAGGCCCAAAAAGGTAGGCAACCTTTGAAAACGAAAAATGTCACTGTCAATCTTAAGACTTCAATATCAAACGAAAATGGACGAGAAAATTCATAAGTAAGCATTCTTCCGCAAAAATGAGTAAGTTTTTGCAAAAACCAAGTCGAACACGTTCTTTACGAACGACAGTTCCCAACAGGCCCGCCACAAGGGGGGGGGATACTGGGTCCCTGGTACCGGGGCCCGGGCCCTGGAGGGGCCCGTGACGCAGGTGACAAACCACTACGAATTCATGTGTAACCCTTGTCTCGTGGGGAAAAGTGAAAAAATTACCCTAAAAATTCCGCAAAAGGTGAATAAAGTTTCAAAAACACGCTAGGGCACTATA